GCCCCGAAACCCGGGCACCCCCTAACCCCCGCCGCGCCCCGCGTCCCCCCCCCCCCCCCCCCCCCCGGCTCCTGTTCTCTTACTGCTATTTTTCTCCTTATCGCTATTGCTATCGTTAATAATAAGGATAAGAGATTTGCTCCGGGCGGGTCTGAGCTCACGGGGGAGCAGAGGAAGGGAAATACCCGGGTACGAGCCGGCGCCGCCGCTCCGCCGCTCCCGAGAAGCGGAGGCGAGGGGAGATCCGCGCTCCTCCGCGGGTGCGCAGGGTGGAGCGGGGCCACGGCAGCCTCGGCCCGACCTGCCTTGTCGCCACACGTAGTACCAGTAATGATAAAAATTATTATGCTGCTTATTATATTATTATTATTAGTGGTGGTGGTTTTGTTTCGTCGTCGTTATTCCCGTTGTTGTTATCGCTGTTGTTATTATTACCATTTTTTTATTACCGTTATTACCACTATATTGCCATTATTGCTGTTTATTGTCTCTCGCTCGGGCCGTACGGAGCAGAACCCAGCTCGGGGGAAGCCCGGTCCGGGGTTACCTCCCTCGCTCGGAGCAGCCCCGTTTTCGGCGGCCCCTCGCTGGCTCCCGACACCCGCTCTCCCCCGCCGCCATCCCTGCCGAGCCCCCCGGGGCCCTCCCGAGCCACCGCCCCGCTGCCCCCCCCTCCACCACCACCGCTCCGGGGGCGGCGAAAGGGCGAAAAAAAAGCTCCGATATTCCTTTATTTTTCCCTTTTATACCCTGGCGAAGGGGCCCGATCTGCCGCCCGGAGCTCCCCGGGCCCGGCACCCCCGGCTGTCTGGAAATGTCGGTAAGGCAGGGCCGGCCGGGTGCCCGCCCGGTTCGGCACCGTTCGGTTCGGTGTGCCCGCCTTTCCCCGCGCCCACGGCCCACCCCGGCGTCCTGCGGGCCCCGGTGCCGGGCGGCAGGCGGGGGGATGGCTACCGGGAGCGGAGCCGGGGCTTACCCGGACTCCAAACCCGCCGCCACCGGGGAGCCCCGGCCCGCTCGCTGGGCTCACGCCAAACACGGCTTTACCGGCCCGTGGGGCACCGGGGCCGCCGCCCAGGAACGGGGGACCCTCTTCCTTCCCCTCCCCGCAAACGAACGGTGTCTTTCCCGGGAAGAACCCCGGCCTCGGGGCTGCAGGGCGCCGCGGGCACCGCCGAGGGTCCCCCGGTGCCGGAGCGGCGAGGCCGGGGCCAGCCCGGGGAGCCGGGCCCAGGACCGGACGGCGCGGCGGAGCACGGGAACTTGCGAGGCGTCCGTGGGCACGGGGGAGCAGTGAGAAAACACGGGGGGGGGGGACTGTGCACGGACACGAGGTGAACATGCTTGGACACGCGGAAAGTGTGCACAGACACGGGGAAACCTGCGCGGACACGGGTAAGCGTGCGAAAACACGGGGGGAAGGTGCAAGGACACGAGTAAACGTGAATGGACACGGGAGAAATGTTCACGGACACGGGAAAACGTGGACGGAGACGGGGGAGACGTGGACAGAGGCGGGTAAACGTGGACGGACACGGGTAAGTGTGTACGACCATGGATACACCGTGCAAGGACACGAGTAAACGTGAATGGACACGGGAGAAATGTTCACGGACACGGGAAAAAGTGGACGGAGACGGGGGAGACGTGGACGGAGGCGGGTAAACGTGCACGGACACGGGTAAGTGTGTACGACCATGGATACACCGTGCAAGGACACGAGTAAAAGTGAACGGACACGAGGGAGATGTTCACGGACACGGGAAAAAGTGGACGGAGACGGGGGAGACGTGGACGGAGGCGGGTAAACGTGCACGGACACAGGTAAGTGTGTACGAACACGGGCAAACCGTGCAAGGACACGAGTAAACGTGAACGGACACGGGGGAGATGTTCACGGACACGGGAAAAGGTGGACGGACACGGGGGGATTGTGTACGGACACGGGTAAGCACGTATGGACACGAGAGAGGTGTGCACGGACATGGGTAAACGTGTACGGGCGTGGGCAACCGTGCAAGGACACGGGTAAACGTGGATGGACACGGGAGAGACGTGCACGGACACGAGTAGACGTGCACGGACACGGGTAAGCGTGTACGGCCATGGTGGAAATGTGCACGGACACGACTAAACGTGCACGGACACGGGGAGCCGTGCAAAACCACGAGGGGACAGTGCACGGACACGACTAAACGTGCACATCACGGGGTAAACACGCATGGACACGGGGCAGATGTGCACGGACAGGGAGGAACCGTGCATGGACACGGGAAACGTGTGCGTGGACACGGGGGAAGTGTGCGCGGATACACGTACGGCCACTGCAAATGAGCGTGGATACCGCCTAAGTGTGCACAGACA